AAATAAATAAAACAAATTCAAATTTGCTTTTCTCGCCCAAATCTAAACCATTTCATCAACTCACAATGCATCTCCACCGTTGCAAGTAGGAAGACAAGGAGGGAGCTCAAGGAGAGGATCTCAACTCATCAGCCCTAAGCCTCATTTTTTGGAGACTGAATTTAAACCACTCATTGCAATAAATAGTAGCAGATAATCAGATCAATTGTGATGGCTCCATTACTATTAATTATTTTTTCATTTACTATGAAGTTTTGAGTTTTTTTTGATATATATGACTCAAAATACTTCTTTTCTATGTCTATTTTTTCCCTTCTATTGCTTCGGATTCATACAATTGATGAAAATCAATTTTCATCGTAGATTTCCTTCTTAAATTTATCATATAGCTTTAATTGAGTTGTGAATATTTTTTGAAGCCTATTACAAAATTTCAAAAAACTAAAAGATGAGGAATGCCAATTTTCTGTTGACCAAAGTTGATCTATTGAATAAAAGATGATGCCTTTATTTATGTTTTGGGCAAAAACTTTAAAGCCAGCTCCACCATCCCCTAGTTTTATGTAACAGTCTATATTAGAGAATGTGTATAACACTCAGCAAATGGTTTTTACGCTTATTTGACATGTTTCACTCTGATTAATATCTCAAATATGTAGTAGATATCTGAATGAGACAGTTTGTGTGTCTTTGATGGTTATGCCTCTCACTCAATGGTTCATATGCTAATTTCTTGAGCTCAAGGAACTACTCTTCACTTAAAGCCTTAAAAAAAAAAAAAAAGGCCTGCCTACAGCCATACAAAGTACATATATTTCTAAGATGTTCAACAACCATATCCCAATAGAATAGGGGTCCTGAACATCTTTAGACCAAATATGGGCAGCATCACGTGGGATATAAAGAAATCCCCCCTGAAAACATGAGCTATTGTGATTAGGCATGGAGAGCTCCACAGTAGTCACCGTAGCTTCATCTAGGAAGACAATACCAAGCTGGCAGCACTTTAACCATAATGTAAATACATTCAACACACACAAGCTGCTAGCCAAATCCCAAAATATAATAATTCTCCTACACAACTTGTAGGAGTAGGCCACAAACCTCAAAATATCATACTCTATACCAGTTAACAAAGGTTTATATAAAACATAATTACAACTGTAGAATAAACTAAAACTAAAAGCATGACTAGGCGCAAGCTGCTGCCACCACCAAGCTTTTGTTCCTTTGGATAGGTGCAGATTGCAGCCACCTCCAATCCACCAGACCAGGACTTCAGTTATCCAAAAGGTCTCCTTATAACTATCAAAACACAGCTACAGGATTACAGGGAAGAAGTGCCCATCTCCTGGATGCAATGTAATATGGAATCAATCAACATAACCTGCCAATAATGAAGTATGAAATAAGTATTACTAAATATGGGGTAGTTCAGATTACATAACAACATTAGGCTACAACACACAATATATGGTCTCATAACACTCAACCCACACTTTAAAATCTCACTACTCTCTGTGATAGCTTCCTTAACCTGCAAATAAAGATGTACTAGACAAATAAAGATTAATGAACCACTCATATATTAGTTGACTGCACTCAACTCACAGAATAGACACTCAAATCTTTGGAGATATTTCATTTTAAGTATGTTTCTCACAACACTCAACCCTCAAAATCTGCTATAGAGCTCCTCAAGCGGTTGCACAAGTTAGCAAACAATTAGAATAACACAAATTTTTGCAAACCTTCACTCAACTCATCTAGAAAACTCACATCACTTGACAGTCCCCATTACTGATCATATGGGCTTCAAAATAGTCACAGGCAGGTTCCAATGAGCAAGAAACTAGCCATCACCTATGGATCTAGGCAGATTGTTAATAGACAAAAGTCTCCCTCTTATCGTATGAATAATAGATTTAATGACCACCTCCTCAGGTTTGAATTATTAAAAATCCTATTATTCCTTTCAATATGGTAAATAGTGCACAACAGAGACAGTAAGAATATGTGATCTCAAAGATCTACCCGTGATTTCTTTGGTAGCCAAAGTAATCAAATTAGGCCAATGAAGATCAGGCCAATTCACATTTCACTTAGTTTTGAGAGCACTCCACACCCTAGCACAAAACATGCAATTAAAGAAGAGGTGAGAATGACTCTTAACAGGATCTTGACAGAAAGGGCAGATTGGATTAAGAGTCAGGCCAAATTATTGCAACCTATTACCAGTATTCAATCTTTCATGAAGGGCAATCCAAACAATAAAACTAACTCTAGGGATCATGTGGGGTCCCCAAAGTAGCTGATGCCAAGTGACTTTATCACACTTAATACCTCCAATGATTTCAAGCAGAGTTGATAGTGAACTTACCATCAGGATTTAACTTCCAAATAGGTTGATCACTTCTGAATGGATCAGGTTTACAACTACAGGGAGTAGATGAAATCAGTTCCTTAAGTTCCCAAGAATTAGGAGTAGGCCACTTCCAAGACTCACCATCAACAATTTGATTGACTTTAGTCTCACTGTTGAGACAAGAGTCATACAAAATTCAATCCCCAAACTTGTCCCAAAGGAGACCAGGAGGATGCCAATTACCATACCATAAGAAAGTGGAATCACCATTCCCAATCCTATGGGTTATCAAAGGGGAGACAACATTCCTAAGGGATAAAATCTTTCTCTTGACCCAAGAAGGGTCATTATGGACTTAAACTTTCCAAAAACTTTTGCCTTTGAGTAAATAGGATTTAACCCATTGACACCACATTGATTTCTCCCCACCTGAAAATAGGAACCAGATATGCTTAGCAATAACAGCCCAATTCCAAGTCTCTAGAGACTTAAAGCCCAGGCCACCCTCATTTTTTGGAACACACATCTTATCCCAAGAAATTTTAGCACTATGCTTTTTAACCTCAATGCCAAACCAGAGAAAAGCTCTAAGAATACTCTAACTTAACTTACTTATTGAAAGAAATTTCTAAATTAACCTGGCCATTTTCTGAAACAAGCACATAGGAATTGTAGGAAAGGTCCAGAAAAATAAAATGAAAGGAAATGAAAAAAGAAAGGAAAAGAAAAGAAAAAGGAGGCAGCTAGGTTCCGTGAATTGCACCTATGGTGTCTATCTTTAATCAAGATCAAGGCCCAAGGATTGATGCGAGGTGCACAATCAGGAACCTACAGATTGCGGACTTTGCCCTGGCACAACCTTTTACTTGACAGACTTAAGAGTATCAAAATTACTTTGTTTTGTTTTTAACTAATATGAAAATATGTACTTTATGTCTGTCTACAAGAGATTCCAATATGAACTTAATTAAAGAACAATATTTTTTTTTTTACAAGTAATCATCATATAGATATGTATTTCTGTGTGTTTATGAAACAAAAGTGAGACTGTAGGATGGAGATTTTTGCTACAACCATTCATTTATTTTTCAAACTTGGACTATCAAAATTACACTGTTTTGTCTTGCACTAATGTGTCTGTACATACGTCTATTTTTTTGTGCGATGTAATTATCATATAATTTATTTATGTATGATAAAAAATATACACATTGGTATTTGGTACATTGTTGAAGTTAGTAAAATTCATTTATTTCATTCATTATTACAATTTGCAGGTAACAAGCCACGAGACTAGCCTTATGCAAAGAGGTAGAAGGGTTTATGCTCATGCACATGACTATCATATTAATTCTATTTCAAATACCAGGTGGTTGATCCATAATTTTGAACTTCTATTGACATGTTACTTTCCATTCTAATTGAATTACTCTTTAAATTTTTGTAGTTGTTTTTTGTTTGTTTACTAGTTGGGTTGTCTCATGAGCTTATAGTTGCTAGAATATACTAATAGCATGTTATTTTTCTCTCATTCTACTTTCTTCCTTGATAAGGCAAAATTTATTACCATTCTTTGTTCCTATCATAAAGAATTTATAATGTGATCAAGGATTTTATTTTTATTTTTATTTATTATTTTTTTTTACAAGTGGTCAAGGATTTAAATTCTACCTTTTTTTTTATTTTTTATTTGTGTGCGTGTGTGTGTGTCCTGTTTAATTAATTGCATTTTTTTTTAATAAAGCCTCTAACTGGAGGTATAGAAAGAGGAAGAGGATAATTGATTGTCTTGGATTGAATTATGAGGATATATCTGATAATAAAGAACATATCTTTTGTATATATCGAATGAATAATCTCCAGAGAAGCTCTAAGTACAAATATGTAGAACCTAAATGAAATAAACCCTAACAACCTAATAGACTAAACTACTCTTAATGACTAATGTAAAATACAAAAAATACATAATCTTCACACCCCCCCTCAAACTGAGGATGTGAGCGCAGAAAGCATCGAAAGTTTGCCAAGAAAAAAACAAAAACGAGCAACAGTGTGAGTCTTCGTAAAAAAAATCGGCCAACTGAAGAGAGGAGGGAACAAAAGGGAGAGTAACAGTGCCAGCCTGAAGATGTTGTCGGACAAAGTGACAATCTATTTCAACATGCTTGGTCCACTCATGGAAGACTGAATTATTGGCAATTTGGACAGCACTCTGATTATCACAATACAACGGAGTCAGATCAGAAAGATTGGCAATTTGGACAGCACTCTGATTATCACAATACAACGGAGTCAGATCAGAAAGATAGACACCCATATCAGAGAGAAGCCACTGAAGCCAAATGAGCTCGGAAGTAGTATGAGCCATGGCACGATACTCAGCCTCAGCGGTGGAACGAGCAACAACAGATTATTTTTTACTATTCCAAGATATGAGAGAATCATTGAGGAAAAGATAAAGACCAAAAGTGGATTTGTGATTAGAGATATCACTTGTCCAATTAGCGTCAGCATAGGCACAAAGAGTTAAGTTTGAAGAGGCAGATAACAGCAGACATTGCAACAAAATGCCATGAAGGTAGCGCAGAGTACGGAGTAAGGCAGCCCAGTGTGTGGAACGAGGAGTAGAAACAAACTAACTGAGAATGTGCACAACATATGAGAGATCTAGACGAGTAACGGTGAGATAAACAAGGCACCTAACCAACTTGCGATACAAAGTGGGATCCTCAAGAGGAACACCATCAGAAGTAGAAAACTTAGCATGCAGCTCAAGAGGAGTGTCGACAATTTTATCATCAGTGAGATTGGCACGAGAAGGAATATCACAGACATATTTAGTTTGAGAGAGAAGATATCCAGTAGGAGAAGTAGCAACCTCAATACCAAGAAAATAAAGAAGAGACCCCAAATCCTTCATCTCGAACTCCTGAAACAAATGATGCTTGACCTTCTCAATAGTACTAGAATCAGAGCTAGTCATGATCATATCATCTACATAAAAGAGAAAGAGAACAAGGCCAACAGAAATGCGCCAAACAAAGAGAGCCCAGTCATGATGACTAAGGCAAAAACCAAGCTAAAGTGCAACAGAGTGAAATCACTCATACCAAACACGAGAAGGCTGCTTGAGACCATATAGAGCACGACGAAGACGACAAACAACACCAGGAGGGTGAGAGAGACCCGGTGGAGGATGCATATACACTTTTTCAGCAAGATGCCCATTCAAAAAAGCATTTTTGACATCTAGTTAAAACAAAGTCCAGTGATGGGCAGCATCAACAGAGATAACAGTGTGGATAGTAGTCATCTTGGCAACAGGGGAAAAAGTCTCATCGTAATCAATCTCATACTCCTGAGAAAAGCCCTGGGCAACCAAAAGAGGTTTGTACCGTTCCAAAGAACCATCAGAAAGGGTTTTGACCTTATAGACCCATTTACAGCCTACAACATTCTTACCAACAGGTAATGGAACCAAATCCCAAGTTTGAATGTCAGCCAAAGTAGTTAACTCGTTATTTATGGCAGCAATCCAATTAGGATCATGACAAGCTTCCTTGTAGGACCTGGTCTCAAAATAAGTATGAAGACAACAAAGAAAAGATTGATAGGAAAGGGAAAAACATGTATTACCAAAACTATACTAGTTCAGAGGAGAGCGGGATCCAAAGAAACAACTGGAGGGCCAGTAGAGCTAGAGACAGGCGAGCTCGGAACTGTTTTGCGGCATTGATAAACAAGAAGAGAAGCAGGGAAAGCGGGAGCTGGAGAGGGAGTAACTGGTGAGATATTAGAAGTACTAGAAAGAGGCAAGGTGGAGATCTCAAGATCGGAAACAAACTCATTGGGAGAAACATCAGGAGGAAATGGGTTAACATGAACCAATTCATCCTTGGTAATTGGGACAGGGGTGGAAGGTATAGTGTAGTAGGGTAGTTTTTCTAAAAAGATGACATGTCTAGAGACATAAAGCTTTTTGGTGGCAGGATCATAGCACCGATAACCTTTCTAATTAATGCCATACCCTAAAAGGACACAGGACACAACGAGAACTAAGCTTAGAGTGCTCCCGTTTAGGAAGGAGCACAAAACATGCTGAACTGAAAACATGAATAAAAGAATAATTTGGAGTAACACCAAGAAGACACTCATATGGAGATGAGCCGGAGAGAAAAGGAGTAGGCATCCGATTGAGAAGATATGCAGCAGTGAGCACAGCTTCTCCCAAAAAGACAGAAGGGACAAAGGATGAGAGCAGCAAAGAGCGAGCTGTATCAAGGAGATGACGATGTTTGTGCTAAGCTCAACCATTTTGGACAGGAGTGTTTGAACAAGAAGACTGATGAATAGTACAATAAGTAGCTACAAACTCCTCAAACTCAGATAAGTAATACTCACCCTTCAAATTAGATCGGAGAACTTTAATGATGGTGGAAAATTGAGTGCAAATCATCAAGTGAAAATTGAAATATATTTTGTAAAAATTAGATTTTCGTGTCATCGAATAAACCCATGTAAACTGACTGTAATCATTCACAAAAGACACATAATATTGCAAACTGCCCTTGGTAACTATAGGGGAAGGACCCCAAACATCAGTATAAACCAATTGAAAAGGAGAAGATGAAATAGAACTACTTTTATTAAAAGGAAGAGTAGACATTTTAGCTAGTTTACAACTATGACACGCTAAAGTATCATCAATGGGAAAATTGCCTAAATGTCCAGATTGAACTAACATCCTCAAACGATCACTCGACAGATGACCTAACCTAGAATGCCAAATATAAAATAAAAAAGACTTACTGTTTAAACAAAAAGAAGACAATACAGTAGAAGACACATCTAAAGGAACATGTAACCTGTCCAAGATATATAGTTCTCCAACTCTACGCCCGATCCCAATTTGTCTTTTGGAGACCTAATCCTGCACAACACAATGAGAGGAAGAGAAAACAACATCAAAACCAGAATCAAATAATTGACTAATAGAAATAAGACTGAGTGAGAGGTGAGGTACATAAAATACATGAGAAAGAGACAAATGGAAAGAGGGAATAGAACCAATAGAGGATACTAGCATAGAGGAACCATTAGCGGTAGCAATAGTGATAGGAGAAGGATGTGAGACATAATTACTAAGGAGAGATGCAACAAGGGTCCTATTGTAATGCCCAAATTTCTAGCCCAAATGATAATACAACAATCATGGCTCTTTCAAGGAAAACCGAATATAAATCTCCAAACTTACATTACATGATACAATAGTTCTTCATGCAACAATACATTAATCCAACAACAAGTAAATAAACAAATAAATAAAAGACTTACTGTTTAAACAAAAAGAAGACAATGCAGTAGAAGACACATCTAAAGGAACATGTAACCTGTCCAAGATATATAGTTCTCCAACTCTACGCCCGATCCCAATCTGTCTTTTGGAGACCTAATCCTGCACAACACAATGAGAGGAAGAGAAAACAACATCAAAACCGGAATCAAAGAATTGACTAATAGAAATAAGACTGAGTGAGAGGTGAGGTACATAAAATACATGAGAAAGAGACAAATGGAAAAAGGGAATAGAACCAATAGAGGATACTACCATAGAGGAACCATTAGCGGTAGCAATAGTGATAGGAGAAGGATGTGAGACATAATTACTAAGGAGAGATGCAACAAGGGTCATATTGTAATGCCCAAATTTCTAGCCCAAATGATAATACAACAATCATGGCTCTTTCAAGGAAAACAGAATATAAATCTCCAAACTTACATTACATGATACAATAGTTCTTCATGCAACAATACATTAATCCAACAAGAAGTAAATAAATAAATAAATACCCCCAAGGGTTTACAAGTTTCCAAGGCTTGAACCTGGTTACACAAAACGGTTATTCAAACCCACACACATACAGCCCTTGGCTTAGACACAGAGTCACAGCAAAATGAGAGTCTCGTACTCTCAACACACATTTCCTTGCCTTTAGTTAGGCGGCATCACCACATCTTTTCCTGCACAAAAATCCCATAGGGTGACAATAAAGCCCAGTAGAAAATCCTTAACAAAGTATATACATTTTATACAAGTCTTAAGAGATGAAATGCACATGCCATGCTATGCCCTTTTGAAAGAAAATCACATATTCATCTTTGAAAACCATCATGCTCAATGGTGTCATGCAATTTCAATTCTTCAAAACTTAACAATTCATTTCAAGAGCGGTAAATACGACTTTGGTAATCCCTAGGTTGGTGTCTGCAGGTAGACTATACAAGTATTACCAATTTGCCATTTTTACCGGTATTAACTAGAAGGCTTGACACCTATCTGCGTGGGTTTTCGATCTTTCACCCCGGACCCTCAGGCCAACTTATTCAATATCATCTACACCACCTATCAAGACTTACCAACGTATTTACCCCAAAACCATTCCATGAAAACTTGTTTCTCAACATTCTTTTCTCAATGCAAGTTTTCAAACCAACTTTCAAAGTTTAATGTAATCAAATGAATTGATATGCCAATAACACAAGATGAATATAGATACTTTTATTGCAATTCATCATCCAAGGAATAACACAATTCATTCTTTTCAAGTATCCTCAACAATTAGTCATTTCAAGACTATTTTAACGTTTTGAACAATAATTTTCAAAATGAACAATAATTCTCATATTCCCTAAAATTCATCATTTATATAAATATAAACAAGAAATTTTCCAAACATCCATTTATTTTGACACACAAAATAATTATAACAATATCATTCATGGATTTTCAGTCTCTTAAAAAAAATCCCAAATTTTAGGTTTTCTCACCAAAATTATATAACTCAAATCTTTTGAAAGAAAACTTTTCAAAATCATATTTTCTTCAATCAACGAAGATCAAAACTCATAAGATCATTTTAAAAGAACAAGAGACAAACACACTTTCAAAATCGCTCAACTTCTTGAATCAACAATCAATTTTCAAAGCTATCGAAAGATGATTTCAAAAATCATATAAATCTTGCAAATATATATATAATCTAAGAAAATCCCTACCTCAAGTTTTGAGAAGAAATGAGATGAAACCCCCAAAATCAACGGTTTCGAAACTCGATCCACACAACGAAGCCCTCGAGAAGTTAACCAACTTTGATGAAGAACCTATGGCAGAACTAATGGATCTTGAGAAATCAAGGTTTTGATCCAATTTGGCGTAGGGAAAAGTGGAGAGAAGGGAGAGGAAAGGGTTTTTAGAGAGAGAGAGAGATATACAAAAGTGATCTGAATATCAGATTCACGAACTGATATAACATGGTCCGCTCGAGCGTGGAAAGCCTCGCTTGAGCGTCAAATACACTTTCCCCGTACTTTTGCAGACAGGTCAAACTTCTGAAACCAAACATTCTCCGCTCGAGCGCATAAACGGCCGCTTGAACGGATAAGCAACTTTTAATGGATTTTGCATTTTTGCTTCGGGGGTGCTGCCCCTCAACCTCGCCAGGGCACTGCCCTAGGACTCACCAAGGGGCGCTGCCCCCTGGACCCCCGCGAGCTGACTGGGCAGCTCGATCCCCGACATACTTAGCGAAATGGCAAAACTGGGATCACTACACATATAATGTGAACAACCAGAATAAAAAATCCACCAAGTATGGATATTACCTGAAGAGGATGAACTAGACAAACCTAACTGAGTGGTAGTCCTAGCGGAAGCCAGGGACGAAAGAGTTGGATTGGCCACCATGAAAGACTTGAACTGCATATTGGAATATGGACCATTTTCAGAAACAGGTGCAGAAAAGGCAGTAGATGAATGAGATCCTGAAGATATTGGTTTAGAGGATGGTGGACCAAATGAATGGCCTTTGGGCTGCAAAAGTTTAGGACAAGCATGTTTCCAATGGCCTTTCTGATGACAAAAGTTGCATTCATCCATAGAAACCCGAGGCTTGGGCTTACGAGTAACTAGAAATAAAGAAGATGGTGGGGTGGGCAAGAGCGAAGGAGTGGCAAAAACTGACTGGGAATGAGAAGCACCATGAACCACCTTGAACCGAGTTTCTTCCGCAATAAGCTCATGGACAACACCATCGACAGAAGGTAAGGGGGACCAATGAAAAATAGCGCCCTGAAGTGGCTCAAATTGATCACAAAGGGCCATAAGAAACTGAACAAGACGTTGTTTCTCCCGATACTTGGTAT